GCGCCAGTGCCGCCGCCCGCAGGCGTCACCCCCCGCCGATTCCAGTACTACTTTCACACGCTTCGTGACCTCATAAGAGGCCCACCCAGCACCCCCCCCCACCCACCCACCCACCCGCCACCCACCAACCACCCACCCACCACCCACGCACCACACACCCACCACCCACCCACCACCCACCCACCGCCCACCCAGCGCGCACCCACCGCGCACCCACCACCAACCCACAAGCCACCCACCACCCACCCACAACCATACCCCCACACCAACCCACCACCCACCCACCACCCGCCCACCACCCGCCCACCCATCCACCACCCACTCACCACCTACCCGCCGCCCAGCCACTACCAACAACCACCCGCCCACCACCCACAAACCCACCTACTACCACCCCCCCACCATTCACCCCCCGCCAACACCACCGCCCCCCCCCCCCCCCCCCCCCCACACACGCACACACACACACCAACCCACTACCCACCCACCACCCACCACCCACCACCCACCCACCCACCTACCAGCCACCCACCCACCGCCCACCCACCACCCACTCACTTCGGCACGCCCTCACACGATTCGTGGCCCATAGGGAACTCCATTGAAATAAACATTGGCAGCTGCGGTACTCAAGACTGCACATGGTTGGGTCCTTCGCCAGGCTAGTTGCGTGGTGTGTGTGTGTGTGCGGGGAGATAGCAGTAAGTGTTGGGTCCCACGGCTTGGCGCCTTGTCGAGACGCAGTGGGTTCCAGAATGCAGAAGCCAATGCCTACGTTTATGAGTTCTGTCTGACACACCAGCGTTTATCCGTAGCTTTTTTGGCTCAAGATATTACATATGTGTTCCGTGTGGAATCTCATTGATACACGACCAGGGTCCAGCGACAGCGCGGCACCATCAGGCACCGCGCCATGTAGCAGCAGCGCGGCACCAGGGGCATCAGCGCTGCACCAAGAGTTACCCGAACATGTAGCAGCAGATGCGGAGGTCCCAGAGGTTCTTCTTGGGACCACCGCCACCGCTGATACTACCAGCAGTAACTACGGCGCGGCATGCGGCATCCACGCCGTCAGCCTGGATATGGCCCACGCGTTCTTGGACGCGTTCGCAGAGGCCACCGCCGACGGGAACAGCCAGCAGCAGCTTTACCCACAGGAGTAGCATAAATCGTTCATCGCTTTGCGGCAAATCGGCAGTCAAAAGCCCCTTTATGGCTGTTGCGGCCATCCATGGAGTGATTATCCGTTGGATGTTTGCAGGGACGCCAACTCTTGGAACGGATGCCGAGTTCTCCGATGGATGTTGGTTGGCCCGTCAGCAGCGTAGACGTAGACACAGCTGGCCCCCGGCACCCCAGCCGCGAGCGCGACAGACAGGAAACTGGTTTCGAGCCGATCGATGCTACCAAGCCCATGCTTCCATTAAGGCTGTCGGTTCTCGGCCGCTACTCGTTGGTGATACTCGTTCCAGCTTGGAAGCCAAGTCAGATCCAGCCAGCCATATTCTCGGACCATCTAGGCGTTGCCAGTCTGCTCTCTAGGCGTTGTTAGAGTGCTCTCTAGACATGTCAGCATTCGTCGGTACGCTCACCAACTCAGACCGCCTGGCCTCTCGTTTGCGCAGCTGCGGCGAACATCATCACATCGCGGGGACCGAGCGGCTGAGTTGGATGCCAGTGGTGAAGCCTCGCTGTGCATTCAAAGGCGTCTGTTTGGGGCGCCTTCGTAAACAGAGGCAACAGCAGTCGTATAGTTGTATTGGTGTTGGCAAGTGGGCGGCCTAAATTTCATGGTTGATGGGGGTGCAACGCACATGACAGCTGGGATCTAGAAGCGCATGCCAACTGGGAGAGCCTAAAACACACGCCAGCCAGCTGGGGTCCTAAATGTGCCCCCGAGAGCATACCAGCTGGGAGGCCAGCTGGCTTGGAGTCTGTAGCACATGCCGTCTGGAAGCCCAAAGCACATACCAGCGATGCCATGCCTTCTGGGGTTTAAAGCACGTATCAGCAGGGGCGGCAGGTCAAAAACACATACCAAGTGGGACCCCAAAACATATGACAGCTGGGTGCCCAAAACACATAGCAGCAAGACCGTACCAGCTAGGAGCCCAACAAACATAACAGTTGGGAGCCCAGTCCTGGGACCTTGGTGGCAGGCCCCATCGTGCTGGACCCCAGCCCTGTGTGCCCGTTTGGCGTTGGACCCATCGCTATATGTGGAGGGGCGCGTGCCACCGAGGGCGCCAGTGCCACCGCCCGCATGCGTCCCCCACGCACATTTCCCCCACGCACATTTTGTCCCCCACCCACCCACCCACCCACCACCCACCCACGCCCCAACCACCACCCACCCACCACCCACCCACCACCCACCCACCACCCACCCACCACCCACCCACCACACCCACCCACCACCTACCCACCACCCACCCACCGCCCACCCAACACTTACTTACCCACCCCCTCCCACCACCCACCACCCACCCACCGCCCACCCACCACCAACCCACCCACCACCCACAGGCCACCCAACCACCACCCATCCACCCATCACTCGCCCACCACCTTCCCACCACCCACCCGCCACCAACCCACGACCCACCCACCACCTACACACCGCCCGCCCAACACTTACCCACCACCCACCACCACCCTCCCACCACCCACCCACCGCCCACCCACCACCAACTCACAGCACACCCACCGCCCACCACCACACACCCACCACCCGCCCGTTGGTGATGATTCGTAGGCTCATTCAAGCCACTTCCTCGTCATTGCCATTTTTGGCTCAAGCCTTTCATGCTTCAGCAGGGCAGCTGAGCAGCTGTGCACAACCTCGACTCACGCGCGGTAGGCTCGCGAGGCCATCGCCGCCGCGATGGACAAGAAAGAGTTCAATCGGATGCAGATAGGTGGGCACTTCGAGGGCGACGACGAGCCCCATCAGCAGCAGATCGGCGGGCACCCTGAGGGCGACTCGGCGATGGAGGCTGAGGACCACTTGAACGGCCGCCTTGACGACCCAGACGCGGCGCCCAGTGGCCATCCAGACGCGGCGCCCAGTGGCAATGGCAGTGGCGTGGCAGCGGCTGCTCCGAGCCAGCAGCCACGGGTCCAGCAGCGGGAGAAGACACCGAACTACCTGAAGCTGTTGTCCGTTGAGCTTGGGAAGCACGTCGGGATGCAGCCCAGCAAGATTCTCACCGTCCTACAGAAGTTGCCTGACGAGCTTGCGATGCTCCTCAAGACGCACAGGCAGGTCAACTACCCGAACTGGTTCACCATCACCATGATGCAGTCGGGCTACCCCGCCAACAAGGAGGAGGTGAGCATGATTCGCAGGCACGCGGGAGCGACCAAGGTCCACAGCGAGCACCTGCGCATCATCAAGCCTGATCTCGTCATGAAAAAATCGCACATCCACAAGGCCATGACCACGATCGACAAGTCACCGAAGCTCATCGCGGCTACCGGCGGCGTGCTGCTGCTGGACCCAGACGCGTCCGCCAGCGCCGTGGTTCTTCCTGTCCGCTCCAGTGGCGCGTCGTCTCCGCACTCGGCGATGGGCGACGCGGATGCGTCGAGCGCTTCTTGGCCGTCAGATGCGTCATCGGCCTTTGGCAGCCCTGCGCCTTCTGGCACTGGCCGCGGAGCCGAGCGTGGCCAGTGTGAGAGCCGCGCGTCTGGCTCCTGCGCTGCAGTTCGTTCGAGAGCGTGGTCAGTTTGAGCGCGTGGTCAGTTTGAGTGCCGCACCTCTGTGTGGCGAGTTCTACGCCCTCTGGCTTCTTCAGTTGCTGCAGTTGCACGCTCTGGCTGCCAGAGCGTACTAGGGGAGAGACTGTATGGCCCGCCATCGGCCAGCAGGTTCTAACATAGTGCCTTGATCCAACGCATTTCCTTTTCACGTGGTCCGACTCGTGCTCTGCCTGTCCTCGCCCTGAATCCTGTCCTGTCGCCCTTCTTGCCGGTCTGTCCCTCCCGCATCCTCGTCTTCCCTCATCCCCCCTCCCAGGCCCCTTCCGCCATCCCAGCCGGCTGAACGCATCATCTGCCGCCCTCAAGCTCACCCCCACTTCCTCCCCGCACCTCCCCCCGCCCTCCGCCCTTTCAGTCATCCAGGGCTTCGCCCGCTGAGCGTTCGCTTCGATGCTCCTCTCGAGGGCGTTGCGCCCCCAACCCCACCACCCGAGCAATGCATGTCCCAAAGCGTCAACATCAAAGGGTTGTGGGCGACTGCGAACAACAGTCTTTTAGTAATCCCATGCGATTCGCCGCAGGCTTGCCAGCCCATCCAGAATCCAGAAACGATCCAGGGGGGTTGCCATGACAGCAAGTGTTGCCCATCCAGAAACGATCCAACAAATCTGATAGAGGATAGAGCCCACCCAGAAACGACCCGATGGCGCGATAGTGCCGTTGCTATACGTAGCCCTACGGGGTGCAAACCGTATTTGGGCCATCTAGGGCAGTCTGTCGGGGCTCCAAGCGATGGGCCGCGTCGGGGCCGTCTGAGGCAGGTTCGGGCCATCGAGGCCAAGTGGGGGCTGATGAGAACGGACCTGGCACTATTGAGCCAGAGGGGGTGGGGTCTGGTGCGTTCGAAGGGCGGGCTTTGACTAGCTCATCGGCCCCAGGAGGCGGCGAGCCACTTGGAGATGGCGTTGTTCTCGCTACCGCTTGTCGTAGGCATTTGGGCTCAAACATGTTTCAGTTGCGAGACGGGGCAATGCCACCTGGCCTTTGCATTGCACTTCATCGGTCGATTTCCAGCGAGCGTGCCCTTCCCTGCGATGGCCAGGAAGAAGGCGAAGCGCGAGCCCTCTGGCGATTCGAAGGCCAGCTCGTCAGCAGCAGCAGCAGCAGACCACAAGCCCAAGGGCAAGAAGAGAGCTGCCTCCAGCAAGTCTGCATCGGCACCGTCGGTGCCTTCCCGAGGTCGCCAGCCAGTGGGGGACTCTTGTAAGTGCGAGCGGTGTGGTTCCACACCTGGCAACATGAAGCCGTGGGCTTTGACTGGAACCGATAAGCATGGCAACACTGTCCCCGTCGGGTCTGGATGCCTCGAGTGCGCCACTGTTCACAGAGAGTCGTGGGCCATGGAAGGGGCTTTTTCGGAAGTGAGCAAGGAGTGCCGCAATAACGACGACACCAACAAGAGGTTCGATGAGAGTGCCGCTGTGAAGAGGGGTGACAAGGTCAAAGGCTTCGACGAGGTGGACATCGATTCTGACAGCGACATTGGCGTGGAGGTGTCACAGGACTGCGTCGGCCTGACCATCCCTCAGTTCAAGGAGATCACCGATGGCCGCGAGCCGCCGGAGGCAGGGCTCAAGATTCAAGACCTGGTGGGGCCCAACGGCGACAAGTTCAAGGGCGTGCTCATGAAGGGTTGGAAACAGCCGTACGTGCGCTTCAGGTTTTGCAAGCGGCCGACCCTTACGACCAAGCGACAGAAGTTGGACAAGCACAAGCATTACCGCGCAGAGCAGCCTGGCATGGTCATCAAGGCGCTGCACAAGGGCAGCACTAAGTGGAGTTCGAGTCGCAGGAAGCTGGCTGCGGCGCTGTCAATGGAGGCTCTGAGGAAGAAGCTGGGGCAGTTGGTCGAGGAGGCGGCGCCGTTGCCAGTTCTTGGGGGCGACGATGAGGAGTCCGACGTGCAGGTGGACAACGTCACCAGCCACGTCCATGGTGCGGAGTTGAAGACGCCAGACAGCAAGGGCATCAGCAAACCAAAGTTCAACAGCGGCATGTCGACTGCCCGCCGCGGGACAACGAGGAACCCGTTCGGCGACTCTGGCGGCGGAGAGTCTCAATGTGGCGACCTGTGCGGCACGAGCGTCTGGGAGCACAACATCGTGAAGTACGACCTCGTCGCAATCCTCTCGGGCCAGAAGATGGGCAAGGAGCGCAGGAGGTTGAAATACTGGATCGACGCCAACAGCGCCGACACCACCCTGAAGAACGAACTCAACGCTTGCAACCAGCACTACGCCATGGGTAAGATAGCGGAGGAGCTTTCCCAGCCGAAAGATATCGTGACCATGCCGATCGACAGGCTGAAGAAGCTCGTGGGTGACCTGGTCGATCATGGCGTGGACTTCCCCACGCCTTTCCAGGCGAAGCTGCTCAGCAGGGAGTGCGCTGACTCGCCTGCGTTGCTTGGCGGCGGGGTAGACAACTTGACGCAGTTCTTGAAGGTTGTGGAGCCTTGGGGTAAGCAGCGCGGCGGCGATGGCGGTGACGCTGGTGCCGCTGATGGCGCAGCCCCTGCTGCTGATGCAGACGGCGAGGCATTCAAGTTCAACGCGAAGGCCCCCGCAATCAACATTCTCGAGGGCTCCACCAGGGAGAAGTCCTTCATGTTCATGGACTTCTTCGCTCGGCAATTCCTCGCAGGCTACGTCGTGGCGCGGCTGGTGGAAAAGAAGGACCTCAATGAGACCGTGACCAGTATCAACTTTGTTTTCGATCGTTGGGCCGACACTGTGGGTATGGATGACGACGTCGCCGAAGCAGTTCTCAAGCTCCTCACTTGCCTTCGAGGTCTCGCGTGCTTGTTGGGCCCTCTTTCTCCAGTGGAGCATTGGGGCGACTACCTGGACCTCCTTCGCACAGGTTGTAAACGTGCCATGAAGGACCCGCGGGCTCAGTTGGCGACGGCATTGAAGACAGAGAGCGCCACGAAGGATATGGTCACCACTTTGAAGCCCTACATGGACCAGACGCGGAAGCTCCGCCCGTTGATCGAAAACATGAGTGCGAAGTTGCGTGCAGGTGAGGCCGTGACCACGCATGGCTTGATCACAATGGCGAAGGAGCTCTCCACGTTCATGAAGGAGTCACGGCCAGGCCCGGCGGAGATCCCCCAGGATTTTTTTTCGTGCGAGGGTGGACGCAGAGGCGGCCGAGGTGAAGCAGGCGGTCGATGACATGGCGTCGGACAAGTCCTCCCCCGTCGCCGCCGATGGCTTCTGGGAGTGCCAGCGCTCCTTGTTCGTTGCGGTTCACAGCCGCGTCTCGTTCGGCGGCGAGTGGGCGGACACCCTCAAGCAGATCAACGACATCATCCCCGTCCTGGAGACTGGCATGGCTGCCGCGGCTTACCTCAAGGACTTGGACTTGTTCTTCTCTTGCGAGGCCCTTGCTTCCAGTGACGATTGGCGCCTCATGGCGGCAAACACTGTCACGCTCACTCAGCAGGTCTACCCAGGCATCGACCCCTCGACGAAGGAAAGCGCCAAGCAGAGGGTGATCGCCAAGGCGTTCATTGTAGTGGAGCAGGCGATCCACCACCACAAGCAAGCAGGCACCCTCACGACGAACCTGGCTGATGCGATTGGCGATGCTATTGCTTCGTGGTTCAATCGGGTCCAGGCGACAGGGTATGAGCAATGGAAAAATGCGTGAGTGCTGCCCTCAACCAGGCCCGCCTTCTCGAGAAACTCGCCAACCACTTCGGTGCGGACAGCGCCGTGTACAGGGACCGTGCAGTGACGCAGGCTGGGGCGAATCTCATGGCGGAGACCATCAGCCTTGCGAAGGCTATGAGGTCGATGAGGTCCGAGCTGAAGGAGCACGCGCCCGGGCCCATGAAGAGCATGCTTGACGACGAGATCACGCCGACGTACATCAGTGTTATCGGCACTGCCGTGGTCGGCTATTACAAGGACGCGTTCGACGAAGATGTGGCGACCATCAAGTGGGAGGACATCGCAGGCGGAGGCGCAGATGGTGCGATGTGGTACGCTGCCGCTGCCAACGAGGACACCATCGAGGAGTGCGCGACGGCGGCTGGTGCCACGATCTTCACCTACTCGCCAGAGCAGCGGGAGAAGATGCTCGACGAGTTGGTTTCGAAGCACGACCCCCTCCTGAGAGCCGCCAAGTTCTGCGACGTGGTTTCGGGACCGACGAAGACGAGCATCGACCTCGGCGAGAAGTTGTTCCGCATGGCCAGGGCGGCGCACTACGGTGGCATATTGGCCTACATCGGTGCCGACACAGACAGGTCCGACATGAGTAAGGTGCGGAAGCAGTGCACGGATCCGCTGGCGCAGATCAAGAAGTTGTCGCTCGAGGAGTTCGTGCCATCGGGCCTTCTGGAGATGGCGCGCAGGGCCGTCAAAATGCAGAGGGTGACCTAGGCGACGGAGGTGGCCAGGCTGGTGGATTGCAGCAGGAGGGCAGGAACCCAGCAACAAGAAATACACAGTCACAAACTTGATGGCCTGGGGGGCTCTTGGCCCAATACGCCTCTTGGGGAGTCTCTTGGGGCTTCTTGGGTGGGCAGACGGCCCAAGAGGGCTCCAAGACGGCCCCAAGAGGGACGCGTGAAAAGGACCGCGAGACGAACATCCGAACCATCCGCCCCGAGAAGCCACCAGGAAGCTTCATGATGCCCCAAAGGGTCCATAAGAGACCCCCTAAGGCCCCCTCTTGGGCCGCCAGGCGCGTGACTCTTTGGCCGTCCTGGGGCGCTCTCGGGTGGCCTCTTGGGTGTTGTTGGGGTGGTCTTGAGGGCCTCTTGAGCTGTCCCAGAGCGTCGCAGGCTCGAAAAGGGGAGCTCGCCGTCGTCGTCGTTGTTGCCGCCGCCGCCGTTTGTTCATGAGTTTTCTTCCTCGCATGTTCGCCGCACAGTGTCCTCTCCTGTCCGCTTCCTCTCCCTTTGCCCTTCTCATCATTTTCCGTCCTATGGCTCTCGTAGTCCTTCCCCCTTCACTTTCAGCTTCGCGGTGTGCTCAGCCAATATGTTATATTCGCTAGTGCGCCTTCCGCCAGCCCGTTGCTGCACTTGTGCCCTTGTTGGGCCGTCAATGTCAGTTCAGGGCTGTTTCGATGGGTCCTGGGCGCGCCTCGGCCGTCTGGGCAACTTTTCGGGGTCATTGCGATCTTTTGGCGGGCGCGCTGGGCCGTCTTGGTGGCCGTCTTGGTGGCCGTCTTGGAGGTCGTCATGTGGTTTCGATCTCTTTGCTGATTTTGGCTTGGAATGGGGCTTGGTTTCTCGGGGGCGTCCCCAGCGGCCCGCTGCAACTTTGGTGGGGCCGTCTTGGGGCTGCCCGCGCTCATCACTCCAGCCCGTCACGAGCGGTGCATGAGTCGTGCTTGCAAGTGTTGCGCCACGGGAAGTCATCATGGGCCTCCTTGGGGTTTCGTGACACCATTTCGGGTCATCCAGGAACTGCAATGCGAGGATCGGCACGTTTTGTTCAAACCCAGCGCGGCGCAGTGGAACGCTGAAAACATTTCTCCAAATTGTTAGCCTGCCGTTGGAAGAGCGGCAATCCTCAACCATGACGTTCTAAAGAGCTGGCGGCGTTCAGGCAGCGGGCGGCGATGCGACTAGGAAGCCGCGTTCGCCTCAATGAGAACCAAAAACGCTCTCTATTTTCAACCTCTGCGGGAACCTATGTTTCGGCTATATTTTGCCTATCGCGCTGGTTTTCTTGATTCTATCTATAAAGGCGCGCGTGCGCATCATTGGAGCCAGGCTGGATGGAAGGAAGGTGGCTGATAGGAGGCTGGAAGGAGGGTGGATGGCTGGAGGGGTGGAAGGCGGCTGGAGGGACACTGCAAGGGGGGGCGCTGGATGGCTGGATGGAAGGATAGATGGAGGTGGATTGATCGGGAAGGCCGGGAAGGCCGGGAAGCATTGGTTGACCGCGAAGACCGGGAAGGTTGGGAAGCCCGGGAAGGCCGGAACGTCTGGGAACACCGGGACCGGCCCCAGATCTACCTTTTCTCTCTCAGGGCGCGTTCTGACCATAATTTCGAGGCGAATCTGGCGGCGGCGAGGGCCTCCGAGGAGGCCTCAAAAGGCGAAAACGAGGGAAGCGTAGCGGTATGGACACCTTTTCCTCGTCCGATGCTTGTTCGCCGCCACACCCGCCTCGTTTCCCCTCGTTCCTCCTCGTTCCCCCTCGTTCCCCCTCGTCCTTCCTCGTTCCCCCTCGTTCCCCCCCGTTCCTCCGCCACACTCTCCTCGTTGCCCCTCGTTCCCCCTCGTTCCTCCTCGTTCCTCCTCGTCTTCGTCGTCCTCCGCCGCGGCAGGTCATGTGCAGGGGCTGGTCCGCCGGCATGGTGGCCGAGGCGCTGCGGGACGAGGCGGGCGGGCTCCGTTCTGTCCACTCCGCCTGCGTGTCTCGACAGCGAGACCCCAGGGCTTCATGTGGGCCGCGGCACGCTGATCCCAGAGTTGTAGCTGATGACATCTGGCTCCAACCTCACTTCCCACATCTCGCTGAGCAGCGACAGAGCCTGCTGCCACTGCTCGCCGTTCGCACGCGCGCTGATCCCAGAGCTGTAGCCGATGACGCTTGGCTCCACCTTCGCCTCCCACATCTCGGTGAGCTGCCTCGGGTCAGTTCACGAGGGGAGGAGGAGGAGGAGGAGGAGGAGGAGGAGGAGGAGGAGGAAGAGGTACCGATGCCACTGCCCTCGCCTCCTCTTCCCCCTTGTGGGCCTCCCCGGAGGCGCCCGCCGCCTCCGCCGGATTCGCCTCGAGTTCTGGCCAGACAGGACTCCAGGAGTAGGATGCTCCAACCTACTTCAGCCTTGACCGCCAGCAAGAATTTCGAGCGCCCAAAGGAGCGCCGAAATTCAAGGGGGTTCGCGTGTCGGGCCCTGGGAGACGCTCGTCCGACGCTGTTTCGACACTCTTCTGACACTTTTCGGGGTGCTCGATATTAGTTCTGGGATGCGGTCCGTAAGCAGGATGGGAACAAAATAACTCCAGGAGAGGTCTGGAAAGTAGCAGTATCAACACCTTCCGGTTTCCCCAGGTACTGCGTTCGGGGGACATTGCGCGTTTTGTGCGAGGTTCTTGTGAATGCCCTTGGGATTGGGTCCGCGCGCGCGTGTGCTTATGCAGGAGAGAGAGGGAGGAGGCGCAGAATAGGCACGATGGATACGGTCCCTTTGTACAAGACCCCTTGTGCGCCTTGATCGCCGGCGCTCTCCGCTCCAGCACTGTTTCTATTCTTAGTCTTTGCGTATCCTCACCGTCCCATTCAGAGACCCTGCCCATGAGAGCTGACTGGAAAAGGAAAGGAGAGACACATCTAGTGAAAAAGAAGCGGGAGGGGGAGGGGGAGGAGGAGGAGGAGGAGGAGGAGGAGGAGGAGGAGGAGGAGGAGGAGCAGGAGCAGGAGCAGGAGCAGGAGCAGGAGCAGGAGCAGGAGGAGGATATGGACGACGACGAGAGGACGAAGAGCAGGACGAGGAGGAGGAATAAAAGAAGGAAGAAGAGGAAGCCGAGGACAAGGACGAGGAGGGTGACCAGGGCAAGGACGAGGAGGAGAGGACGAAGACGGTGACGGGGAGAAGGATTAGGAAGAGTTCGAGGACGAGGACGAAAAGGATGACGAGGAGTAGGTCGAGGAGGAGGAGGAGAGGAGTAGGACGAGGACGAGGACGAGGATGATGAGGACGAGGACTCTGGCAGCCATCTGGGGTCTTCTTGAGGCCCTCTTGGGGTCCTCTTGTGGCTCTATCGAAGCCTGCTTGAGGTCCTCTTGGGGCTCTTTTGGAGGGTCTTGGGGCCCTCTTGACACCTTCTTGCGGCTCTCTTGGGTCCTTCTTGGGAGCCCTGGAAGGCCTCCTGAGGCCATTTTGGAGGCCATCGATCACAGGGGGGCGGGGTCCTTCTCTAGGCCCCCCCTCACGAGGCCTCAAAACCGTCTCTTGGAGCGCTCTTGGGCGATTTGGGGGCCGTCTGGAGGGCCTCCTCGGCCCCTCTTGAGGCTCTCTGGGGCCATCGTGGGGTCATCTTCAGGCTTGAGAAGCGCATCGGAAGCGAAACGGCGAGGAGGGTAAAATCATTGGGGTTCCCTCTGTGTTTGATGGGCGTTTGCCCTGTGGGGGGGCCCTGGGGCTCCGAGAACACACGTGGAGTCTCCTTGGGGGGGTCTTTGGGGCCCCTTGGAGCATGTTGGAGCCCATCCTCGGCTATCCTGCGCAGTCTCGGAGCATCGGACGCCATCTTATCTTGGAGCCACCTTGAGCGCCCTGGTCGCTGGCGAACCCCCAGAAACGATCTCAGGGAGGCGAGGGGCAGGGCACCCCTCCCCGGAGGGCAGAGGGTTTTGGAAGAGCAGTCTGTTACGCCGCTGGTGCCACAGGATCCTGTTCTATCAGTTCGCAGTGCTCGGTGAATTGTACGATCGCTTCCGGTCCATAACCGCCGCTTTTGGAAGAGAGGCGGACGGTCTTGACCCAGGGGAGGATTCCGCTTAGAAGCTTCCCGTCGTGAGCTTAGTGGCGTTGTTTTCCCGGATCACATGCACATGGTCGAGGACAGCACGAAGTCGGTAGACCACCTACGCCCAGAGGGCTGGTGGGATTAGGTATTGCGAAGGCCTCACGGCCGGTGCCGCCGACCCTGAATGGCGACAACGACGACGAGCGCTCTCGGGGGCCTATTGGGAGTAGTTTGGGGGCCTCTTGGGAACCTCTTGGGGGCCGCTTGGAAGCCTCGTGGGGGGCCTCTTGGGGTCTCTGGGGGTCTCTTGGGGGCTTCTTGGGGCTTCTCTGGGAGCTTCTTAGGGACCTCTTGGGGCCTCCTGAGAGCTTCTCAGGTCGAGTGCTCGAAATGTCCGTTCGGGTCCCCCGTCTGGGCTCCTCCTTGGAGCCGTCTTGGGGGCCTCGTTGGCTGTCTTGGAGGCCTCTTAGTCGGTCTTGGGGCCCTCTTGTGTCGTTTGGGGGCTCTCTTGGAGGCCTCTTGGGCCATCTTGGGGCGGTCTTGGAGGCTTCTTGGCCTGTCTTTTTTTGAATGCCGAAATCTTTCAAACACGTACGGGAAATCTATGATTTTTGCCCCTTGGGACCCTCTTGGAAGTCCTTTTGGAGGCCTCTTGGGGAGTTTTGGAAACCTTTTGAGCCGTCTGGAGGCTACTTTGGCGACTTGGACCGATACTTCGGCGATTCGGGGCCCTCGAGGACCGTCTTGGGGAGCATATTGGAGCAGTTTTGCCGCGTCCTGCGGCTTTCCTTGGCCGCCCAACCGCCCGAGGGGGAGTCGCATCTGCCCGGGGACCCACCCGGGACCCCTCCCCCCCTCCCCCCGGCGGGGAAGGGATCAAAGGGGAGGGGCTTCCCTTCGACTCAACTATAACGTTGCTCAATTTCGCTGCGGCTGGCGCGCTCGAGG